ACCTCAGTGCGAGACCCCTGAGGGGGAATCATGGCGAGACTCACGGTACCACCGCAGAGCGAGACCCCTGAGGGGAAACCGGAGCGGGACCAATGGCGGGACTCCTGACGGGGAAAGCCGGAGCGGGAATCCTGAGGGGGAGCCATGGCGGGACCCCTGAGGGGAGCCATGGGCGGATTCATGTGGGAAAACCGGAGCGGAATCCCTGAGGGGGAACCGGAACGGGACTAATGGCGGGACCCCTGAGGGGAAACCGGAGCGGGACCCTGAAGGGAAATCATGGCGGGACTCACGGTACGACCGCAGAGCGAGACCCCTGAGGAGGAACCATGGCGGGATTCATGAGGGGAAACCGGAGGGGGATTCCTGAGGGGAATCATGGCGGGACCCCTGAGGGGGAACCATGGCGGGATTCATGAGGGGAAAACCGGAGCGGGACCCCTGACGGGGAACCATGGCGGGACTCACGGTAGGACCGCAGAACGAGACCCCTGAAGGGAAACCGGAGCGGGACCCCTGAGGGGAAACTATGGCGAGATTCGTGAGGGAGAATCATGGCGGGACCCCACAGGGGACAGTGACCCTAAGGCAGCCGAATTCGCCATTTCCCTTCCCCGCTTTCATCCGCGGGATCCATCCCGGCTTCCCCCCCACCCCGCCTCAGCCGGCGCTAGGACCGAGCCCAGGCGGCCATACCACGTCCGGTGTCCTTCCCATTTCCGTTCCCGGTAACATTCCCGGAATCGGTTACCGGGAAAACGTCGGGATCCACGGAGGAGCCATTGCCGGAGGAGCGGCTGAGGGGTGAGCGCGGGAAAAGGGGGGGGTGGCAAAGATGGCGGCGGCTCTGAGGGGAAGCGGCGGCTCTGAGGGGAAGCCGCTTTTTATCTTACAAATAATCCCGAAAATTATTAAATTATTAATAAATAATCCAAGAAATTGTTGTAATTTTCCCTGCGAATATGTATGGATGAAGAAAATAAAAGGTTGGGAATGTTAAAATGTTGGTTTTGTGCTGTTGCAGAGCTGGATTGTTGCTATGCCCAAGTGAAAACGCTCCGGAATTCTGAATTAAGATGCAAATTTTCGGGTAGGAATAATTTTATTGGGAATTTTTAGGAATATTGAGGGAAAAATAGGAATTTTGAGGAAAAATACGGGAATTTTAGGGGAAAAATGTGGATTTTTGGGGGGGAAATGGGGCTTTTGGGGGGGGAAAAAAAGGAAATTTGGGGGAAAAATTGAGATTTTTGAGGCAAAAAATGAATTTTTTTGAGGAAAAATTTAAGGAAAATGGGAATTTTAGGGGCAAAATGGAAATTTTGGGGATAAAATGGGATTTTTTTTTTGAGGGGAAAGGGAATTTTAGGGTTAAAAATGGGAATTTGAGGGGGTTCTTTAAGGAAAATGGGAATTTTAGGGGATAAAATGGGATTTTTTTTTGGGGGAAAGGGAATTTTAGGGTTAAAAATGGGAATTTTAGGGGGGAAATTAGAAATTGGGGGATAAAATTTGAATTTTGAGGGGAAATGGTGATTTTGGTGGGTAAAATGAGGATTTTCAGGGAAAAATGGGAATTTTTGAGGGGAAAAATGGAAATTTTTTGGGGAAAAGGGGAATTTTGGGGGAGGGAATGGGATTTTGAGGGAAAAAATCTGAATTTTTGCGAAAAAAATTTGAGATTTTAGGGAAAAAATGAGAATTTTGGCAAAAAAAATGGGATTTTGGGGGGAAAAAAGAGATTTTAGTGAGGGTAAAAATGGGATTTTTTTGGGAGAAAATGTGGGATTTTGGATGGAAAAATGGGGAATTTTGAAGAAAAAATGGGAATTTTTGGGAGGAAAAATTTGGGAATTTTGGGGGGAATAATTGGGAATTTTAGGGAAAAATTTGGGAATTTTGGGGGAAAAAAGGAGATTTTAGAAAGGGACAAAAATGGGAATTTTAGGGGGAAAAAATTGGATTTTGGTGGGGAAAAATTTGGGAATTTTTGGGAGGAAAAAAAAGAAATTTGGGGGGAAAATGGAGATTTTAGTAAGTGAGAAAATGGGAATTTTTTGGGAGGAAAAAAAGAAATTTGGGGGGAAAATTTGGGATTTTGGGGGGAAAATGGAGATTTTAGTAAGTGAGAAAATGGGAATTTTTTGGGGGGAAGATTTGGGAATTTAGAGGAGAAAAATGGAAATTTTGAGGGAAAATTTTTGAATTTAGAGGGAAAAAAAGAGAATTTTTTGGGATTTATCCTGAATTTTTTCCCCACAGGAAATGGAAGAGTCCAAACCTTCAAAAAGGAGAAAAATCCCAGAAAATTCCAGAAAAAAAA